AAAGTTTTTTTTTTCTTTTCTTTTTTTTCTTAAATGGGAGTAAAAAGCGAAGCAACTGCAAGGTCTGGAACCGCAGTGTCAGTGGAGCTGAGATTTTCTTAGGGGTTGTCTACAGAGTCCGCGTCCTGTGGGTTGACAGCCAGGGCCCTGTGACACACGCTCATGCCCATAAACAGGGATTTGGCTCTCTGGAGAAAATAACCTTGATAATTACTGGGTGCATATGGATCTGCCCACAGTGGGAGGGGGGAGAAAGAGGAGGAGGAGGAAGAGGAGGAGGAGGAGACAGGGGTTGACTGAGATGGAGAAAGAGAGGGAGAGAGAGCCACATCCGCTGGTGCATTCCTCCATGCTGTGTCATACTGGTGCCTAGTTTCCCCTCAGTTTGCACAGAGATTTCCACAAGGCGGGAGGGTGCAAAGGGCTTCTGACGCAAAGCTCAGGGCTGTGGACACTGACATTTAAGGCTTAACAAGGCAACAAGCCACACATTCATGGACTCCCCACGGTAACAGCAAAGACAACCGAATTGTTTAAAGAGAAAACATAAGAGGGCCGCTAGACAATTGTGAAAAATTGGAGACACGTGAGAGGTGGGATACACAGAAGAGAAGAAAGACACAGCCTGGTGACCTAACTGTTGATGCGCTCATAGATTTTCGACTCGCCTCTTCCACTCTCTTCCTGCCCTCGTCACGTGGTCTCCCTGGTCTGGCTGAATTGGCATCATTACAGCAGCCAGAGCTGTGGTTGGCTCATCGCCCGTCTGGTTGCCTGTCATTCAGCTGGTTAAAGAGGCCTTGTTGAACCGCTGCACAGTGCCCGGCTACTACAGGGCCATTCATGCCTGTGAAGGCAGAAACAGCCAAGTCCTGTCATCAGAGCTAGCTAGCACATACCAATTTACTACTGGAAATGACAAGGGCATTTTGCTTGGTAAGCACAGTTTCCCCCCGAGCAACCTCGTAAGTCGTTTTTTTTTGTTTTAAAGTTTGGATTACAGTTGAGAAAATGAGAAGCTTCTCTCTAACAGAGCAAGCATCTTTAGACAAACAGCCTTCCCGTCTCGAATATGTTGTTTGTCTCTACGCCACCTACGTCTTGTGCAAAGTGAGATAGACTGATCCTTTCCCCAAGGAATCGTACGACAGCATAAAACAACAAAACAGATCCTTTGTGCTGCCTTCCAATGCTGGAAATTTTCAAACAGAAGACTTGAAAATACAGTTTGTCACTCTGAGAGAGTGTTTTTTTTTCTCTCCCATGCTTGTCAGATGTTCCGTGTGCCTTTTGGCTAATGGCGGCTCATCTTGTTACAGATGACCCGTGCCTTACCGAGACGCTCTCCGTCCTCTTCTCAGTCCCAGTGTGACACCCAGAGTGAGGACATGCATGAGAGCCATGACTTCATCCCGCGCTCTCCCTCCTTCCTCTAACTCTCCTCTCATCCTCCCTTCGTTCTCTTGTACTTTTTGTCTGCCCCTCGCTCTGTGTCTGCAGTCCTAACATCTTCCTGCTATGATTAGCAATAGTGTTTTTTCCCCAGCCAGTGTAATGTCTAGAGCCTCCTGTGTCCTTGGAAAGCAGCCTAATAAGCTCAGACACACACTGCTGTCTCTGCGCTCCACGGGCCTATTCTCCAGTGTCACCCAGCGCACACTGAGGTAAACAAAGACTGCCACACGCACACGTACACACACTACCCTAGTGTGCTAATAGACCAGCATACCAGCCCACTGAGGACAGCCTCGACGCTAGCTTGCTAACGTTGACCTTCCGTGTGCCAATCACAACAAATCTGCTCCCGGATTTGAATATTGGGAGGAGAACAGTGTAAATTGAAAGCAGAAATCCCCCTGGTGTGAGACAAGATGAGCCTCTGAATAAATTATTCAGATGGCAGCCTCTTTCCTGCATGATTCTCGCCTTCTGCTACGTTTAATGGCATCTGTGATGACGCCCGTTGGAGATTAATCCAGATGTAAGACGTTTGCGTGTGTGTTTGCGCGTGCATGCTTACATTTGTATTGTGTGTTTCTGTCTGTGTGTGTGTGTGGCCTGCTCACCCCTCTTCTCATGCATCCCGTTGTGTCGTATGATGGGGAAACAAAGCCTCAACAGGGGAATTTATTTCTTCTCCGGAGAGGGCTGTAAATAAACAACTAGTGAATCAATGCCTCCATTTGTTTTTCTCTGATAATTCTGCCTGTGTCGTGAGGCAGTGTGACAGTGTTTTGCAAGCCGGCGTAGCTCTCAGCAGCCATATTTCCTCTCGGTGAGAGTGAGAAAACATGCCACACCGGCCTCATGTTTCATTACCAGGGATCAGTAAATTACCGTGTGCTTTTTTATATCACTCACTGCAGCTCATTTAGTGCCATGATGGAGCATTTGTATGAGTGGGAAATAACACAAGCATTAGAGATTGTGCTTTAGAACTACTCAGTCAACTAAAGACACATGGGTATAGAAATTGCCCGGTGCAGTTGAATAGGAAAACAGGTGAGTGTATATCAGTCAATGTGAGCGTCTTTGATTCGCTGCAAAAGGATGACCTTCTCTGACACAAGCACATAGAAATGGTTGAATATAAAGCATACAGTGTTTCGGGAATACACTGCAATATTTCTCTCAAGAATGTTTAAATAATGTTATAATAAAAGTGCATAAAAGTGCGTTAGCTCAAGATATCTCAGAGTGGGATATCTTAAAACATGGGCAAATAAAACCAGAACCCTGTCCGTGACTCGGTTCCACTAGAGATAAAAGAAAAAATACGGGCAGATGAAGTAAACTGGAGGAGTAAACTATTATTTTCCCCACTTGCAGTTGTGTGGTCTTCAGTAACAATAATGAACAGAGCACAGGTCCCAGAAAATATGAGGGGAGTTACTTGTATTAGCTACGGTTCGGTGATTAATAGGAGCAGTGAATAATGGTGTGAGCGGAGAGATCCCAGTTCTTTAGGAATAAAGGTAACCTCCCAGTGTGTTAACCATGATTAGGAGCAATCATTCAGCTAATGCTGCTGTTGGTAATGCCAACATGACTACACATAAGAGCTTCTAATGAGCACTGGTTTACCATGGTTTCTTTGTGCTCAAGTACCCTTCACTGTATCCCATATCCAAGTGTGAAATTACAATATCAGATCATATTTAGTTAATTAAACTCATATGACTAATTTAATTTGACTCAAATATGGGGGGAAATGAATAAATCATGGAGGCGTATTTAGCTTGCGTGTTAACAGTAATTAAATGTGGGGCAATCTGTAGCCTGTGACGATAGCTCAAGTCTTCTTTCCGCCTACTGTACGAGTACACGTGGAAAAAATTGTAAGCCAGACGGTTTTGGGAAGCAGTCTAACAGAATATTAATGAAATAATGGGGGAGTTTCAAGCACAGAAATAACTGAGTTAAAGATACAGTCCTGTAAAGTAAGCTAACGCATTAATAGTCAGTGAGTGGTCGTCCCATTAGGAGATCTGCACATCGTAGTTAGAGAGGAGCCAAAAGCAGAGAAGAAATATTCCTCCATGATTAGAGCCTGGAGAGTTCAAAGACAGCTGCTTCTGCAACTAGAGTGGCGCAAAGCACTCACAAAGATGAAGAGAAATCAACTTGTATTTGTCATTTAAGTATTTTATCTTTCATATTTGGCGGGGATTAGAGATGCACATTCTCTCCAGCTCTGTCAGTCCTTGTTATGTGCTTCCGATCTGTCAGATGCACGACAGGGTGCTTTATTACATCTCGATAAATGATGCCACCTAAGTCTTGTTTTCCTATCACTAAAAAGCAGATCGTGTTTTGTCACACTCCCTGATGTGCATTGCATTCTGTTTTGTTTCATTTTAGACTCTGTGATTGATGAGGATTAAGAAACCGATTTTACCTGATAGGAAACACAGGAACGTCCTCATCCACACTGGTAAGGATCCTGATTTATCACCCATGCCTTCATACCAACAGTTCTCCATCAGCTCGCACGGTGATAGAGATATGCTTCAGTGTGGTTTGCCAACAAGATAAGACGGCTGCAGTTTGGTGTTTGTCTTTAGTTGTGTCATACCAGCCACTATACACACAGGCGTTTTGTAGTCCAGAATGCACTGGTGATCACGTTATACATTAACTGAGTCAGAAGACAGTGTGCCTTTAAGAATGAACTGAAAACAGAATATATTTTGATTCAGAGGAGCAAAAGAACATACAGACTTTTACAGTTTTAGGGCACAAAGACTTAAACTCAAATCGTCTGTGAAGAAAAGTCCTTTTTTTTTGTGATACTGAAATTGATACTACACTTTGTCTTATTGTCCAAAGGCTTTGAGAGAACAATATTGGACCACATAGACGTCAGAACATGCTGAATTAATCGCCATGAGAGGTTGGGCGCTATTGTTTTGAATGAAAGCATATGGTTACGTGATGATTTACATGATAGGGATTGGATTTTGTGGGTGATGGCATTTCCTCTTTGCATGGCAGACAGCTGGTGCTTGTCAGGTAACAGGGCAGTCAGTCACAAGAGCCCAAACAAGTTATGATGCCAAGTCATTCTGTGCTTCACAATGTCAGTGTTCTTCCTCTGATGTGGTCGATTAAGAAACATCCATTCTAAAGATGTTTACAAGACCACATTCTTGCATGTATACCTCAGTGGTGATACCTATCAGGCTCTGCTTCAAACTGCCCCTAGGGTTTGGAAACCTGAACTGCAGTGTTAGCAGTGTGGAGCTAATGGTGAGTTTCCATGTATGGCTATTGATCTTCCTCCATCAGCACCAATATTAATCTTAAAGAGGACAACTGCTAAAAACCCATATCCCATCCTCCAGTCATGTGCTTGCATAACCTGCAGGACAAGCCTCCATTTAATGCAAAAACATGCATGAATACTGTGTTCAATTAGCCTTTGAACAGCATGAATATTATGTATTCAGTTATCCCTGGGACTGCATGAATTTTAAGTGTTAAGCATTTAAACCTTGACTGAGAAGAAACACTCCATCAACTGTCATCACAGTGTCAAAAACCTTTGGCTGAAGTGATGGATGGTGTAATTGGGGTGAATAAGAATATGAGGAACCATCAGACAAAAGGACGTCGCATTATGGCCTCAACGCATTTGAGTAAAAGGAGACCATGTCCCTCTGCTTTTGTTTGGCAGGCTGTGCAAAATGTTGACAGTGTAGTTTGTATACATGCGAAACGGCATCAAAGCGCTGGAAGGTGAATAATTTTTGGTGGCATCTGCACATTCTGCAATATGCTAATGAGCAAAGCTGCAAAAGCCAGATTGCCAGGAGAGAGAAGAGGAGATGGAGGGAGAAAAAAGAGGGAGGGAGCCGAGTGGAAAAGAGAGAAACAGACGGAGGCTGGTGTAAATTATGGATGCAACCTGCGATTTCCAAGAGGAAAAGAAAGGCAGAGAGAAACCTCAAGTCATGCATATCAGATTACGCATTTACCACATTTTCTTATCATGGTCCATGAGCAAACTTGTGTACAATCTGGCCTCTGTGCGTGTGTGTGTGTGTTTGAGAAAGAGGGAGAGCACTTACACATTCATCCATTTCGAGTTGTGCGGAGCTGCGTTGTGCTGTCAAGCATTCACTGAACTTGATATGACGTGTGTGTCTAAAGCTGTGTTGACTTTCATTGCACTATTGTGTTACTATTCTTTGTATTGTGTGTCTTGGTATGCGTCTACAGTCACATGGCCCCTGATAGTTCACACATATAATTTCAGCAGTGAGCATGCACATGGACACAGTGGCAAATGTATTCCATCGTTTCAATTACTTATTTACTTACAATTACATTAATCAAATCACATTGTGGATATTATATCTGACATTATTCCACTGTACTTGTCTAATGATACATGGAATGCGGAGCTACCTGTTTTCTTTTGTTAAAAATACTCCCATTATGTATTTTGCTTGCTTGAGCAATTCTAAGTTAAGTAAAAGTGAGCATTCGTGTCCCACTACCACATCCCACCCTCATGTGCCAGTCCCCTAACAGCTTGTGTGAATAATGGATCCATTCTTGAGTCATGTCTGTGACTGGGGCCTGTGCAGTGGTGTGGTTTCCCCACCAGAGGTGGAGGTGGAGGAGACGGGAGGGGCTGGTGGTCTGGAAATAGCTCTGCCTGAGCCGGGAGCACCTTAGGTGGGCCTCTGTGCCAGCCTCACCTTCCTTTAACACGCTCGCACGACAAAAGCACAACTCTGCTAGAGACCGTGGCGCACATTATGCACCTATTTTCCAGTTAGGTTGAAAGGAAATATGGTTTAACGTGCCCCCACTCAGCCGGGCTGCCGGAGTGATCCCCTCAAAGATGGCAGGAGAATTAGAAAAAGAAAAAAAAGCTGCGTTTTCTAAGAATTGGACGAGAGCCGCATCACGCTTAAAGAGAGAAGAGTCTGAGCCGGGAACAGAAACTATGAAGCTGCCCTGGAATTTGCCTGCATGTAAATGTGTGTTAATGTGCAAAGTAGGTCATTTATTTGGAGCAGGGACAGCCGTAGTGTGCTTCTCTGGAGCGATGTCAGAGTGGGGAATCATTTCATAAGCATAAACATTGCTGGATTTGGTGAACTAGGGACTTACATATATCCATATTTTGTTTATGTGTCAAGCCCAAACCCTAGTATACCAGAGGGGAAGGAGGGAGGGTGATGAAGGTGAAAATGGCTCTGGTCGGTCCAGAGACAGCATCAGTAACCACAACCAGAGATAGCAGCCTTAAAATCAGACTAAATCAGATTACCAAACAAACGGCTAAGAGGATTAATTCTGATCTCTCTCTCTTTTTTCCCCATCAGACGGACATTAAATCTGCAATCTATAAAATCCCTTCAAATGATTTTCTATTTTACTTTGCGGCCCTCATTTTCCGGTCGCATGTTTGGAGTGAAGCTCTTTCTGCTCTCAGTGAACTCTGCCCTTTTGTTCTGCCTTGAGGCCTCTAGAAATTGCTTTACTACACAGGGTATCATATCAGTCTTTAAAAATATCCTCACAAGGCACAACACGAATCTGACCTCCGATCAGATGCTGTACTGCTATCTGTTAAGCCCCATAATGTTATAATAGCGCGTTCCACTCGGCACATTTGCTGTTAGGAATAATGCCGTGCTGAGAGACGCCTGTGGCTCTGTGGCTGTCACTTCAACAAGCAGCGTTCACTGGCACAGACCTAATTAATAGAAAACATAATATATGGAAGAGAATAATTACACCTTGTCCCTGGCTTTCAGAGATCAAAAATATTGCTGTGTTTCTTAGAATTAATCTCATGAATGATTGTTGGTTTACAGGGAATCAGTTGCAGTACAGTATGTTCTCTGGGAAAAAAAAAAGACTGTAGATTAATTTGGTTAATATTTCATAAAGCTTACCAAGGCAGAGGGCATTTGAGGCTTTTGAGATTATTTGTTCTCCAATATTACACACCACAGTTGAGCTGCTGTGCCACTGTGCTGCAAGGTCTACATCTCTCGAACACAATGCCAAGACAACGCTCTTGCCATTAAAAGTGTTTGTCTGCGATAGCGTTGTTTGTGAAATGGGAGCCGTTCAGATGTACTGCTCCTTTCCCTTTCGCCGTGATCCAATTCAAAGGGGCCAGTTCATGCACAGCATCGTATCACTCTCCTGAGTGCTGATAACTGCTAACAGATTTGTATTAATATCCTCACTGGTACTCTTTGATATCAGCTGATTCATTTTGAGTCTCAGCTCGGCTACTCACGCACACCTCGGCTCAATACAAAAGTACAATACACCATTGCTCTTGACAGCTTGACAAACTGACAATCCCGCTCTCAATCACTCCCTCTCCTTCCCTCCCTCTCCCTCCCTCCCTCTGATAGAGCCGTTCATTGTAACCAACAAGACTGTAATCAGCGCAAACCTAATCAAATCATTGCTCCAACAAGCAGCCCTGGCTGCCGGGCTTCCACAACACACACATCTCAGATGTAGAGGCAGGCTGTGTGTACAGCAAGTGTGTACTGTAACCAGCCACTGCTTGAAATGTCAGGAGAAGTAGGATTATATTCGAAAATGTCACTGACAGCATAATAGCTCAGTAGAAGAGTGTCTCATCCTATGTTTGTATCTGATGTCAGCAGGTGTGATGTGTGCGTGTGTGTGTGTGTGTGTGTGTGTTTCTGAGTGTGCAGTAATAAAAGCTACTGTACACAAATGTGAAAGTAAGCAGAATGCTGATTTTGTTGACAGGAAACTGGTGTGTGATTGGCAGACTGTGCAAGCCATCGAGTTAGCCATTAAAGTGTGTGTTTTAGATCTGCACAAACAAATGCACATCTCCAAACCTCCTCATTATCGGCAGCAGGAAAAGCTGCCTAGGCACCAGGACAACCTGCGTGTGTATCTCTGCGTGCGCTAGCGTGCGTGTGTTTGTGGCATGCGCTTTGTTCAATCGAGGCTCGTTCCAAGATTTGGTTAACCGAGTTGGCTCGCCCAATCACATTGCCACAGAGTGTGCAGTTGCTTCGGCCTCTGTTTCATTTAGTGGCACCCACGCTCTTGTCCTCTTGCCATGAAAACACAGAGACACTCGTGCTTTTTTTCTCCTCTGTAACAGACATATACACATGTGCACACGCACACACAACTGAATGAGAGTGACAGAGTTAGAGGGAGAGAGAGTGAGAAAGAGGAAGAAATGAGAAAGTACCAATTAAGCTCCTCAGACAATTCTGCCAACAGACATCAGGGGGTTGGAGGCGGAGAGTGTTTATGTGTGTGTGTG